ATTGATTTGATTTGATCCAATTTCTAAATAAAATTCTCGGTATAGTACATCTTAATAAAAACAATAAACATATGAAAGTTAATAGAACATGGAAAGTGGAGAAACACAAATTTTATTACATTTATAACTTGACTGCTAATAAATGACCAGATTGTATTGTTCGCCAAGAAATCACCACAAGAATAGACGACGAAGATTTTGCTTCATTATGCATAACAATAATAGTAACAAAATTTGCATTACTCACCGGCAGGGATAGAGGGGGGAGAATAGGAGAAATAAGATAAGGGAAGATGAAATAATGAAACAATAGCGAAAATTATATTTTATTTAACGGGGTGTGCGATAGACTTACCTCCACGTGGTGCACCCTGGGCAACGTATACTCATACGGCAAAAAGTCTATTAACTGGCAGTTGATTTCTGGCTTCAAACTACCATGACCCCACTGTATGTCATATTCGAACTACTTTCACAGTACTCATCTTACCTTTTCTCTGCCTTTGTGTCTGTCTGACTCCTTCACATCTGGTAATCATTAATCTGTCCCTCCTCTTAACTTCTTGTCACTTTGATGTTCTTCCTCCTCTCTGTGAAATCCAAAGTCAGCTAAATGCCTAATGATAACCATCAAGACGCTTGCCATTTGATATAAATAAATAAATAAATAATAGTTTTCGGTACTATCTTCTGTTTTCGAATGGTTTACGTTGTTCAGTTTTTGAAGTTTTTTTTAATTCAAAGGTTAGCTTACTTAACTTAGGTTGGTTAAGCTAAGCAATTATTTAAAAAACAACGTAATATTCAAATTTGACAGGTTTAATTGATTTTACAACCTGAGTGCAATATTTTTTTGCTTTCTACTTTAAATTGAAATTTTAATTTGTGTTGGAGTGCATACGATCAGTATATGCCATCAATAGCGTTGTCATTCAAAAATTTGAAAAATATTACACCAATCAGACTTTCAGACGCCAACACACGTTAAACGAGATCGAGGGAGCACAATGCCATTGTTCAACACAATTGCACGCGAATGGGGCAGCACCGTAGCACTAGGGCGCGATTTTGTTGTGCGCGTGTGGGGGTTGGAGGGGATGATGCCTACAATGGTGTCTTCTATCGACTTCAATTGCACAGCTTTGCGCGCAACATGCGTAGACTAGGGGTATAAAAATACCCTCAGCACGGAAGACACACCACACGCTACTAGCTGCTATAAGCTAACAAAGTCTCTCGCCCCAAAATTGTTATCACTTCCGGCGATTAGTGACCATTACTACGTATATATATACATATAAGTGAAAAGCTCAACTCGTAACTTTTGTAGTGAGTGAATCGACATGTGTGCTAGCTGCAGACACACCGGTTGTTGGCTATTTCTGGGAGTGCTATACCTCATTGTCGTTCTTGCAAATGGACAGTCAGTGTGTTCACCGGGAGCTTCTGGTTCACCTTCAAAAACATTCGATCTTAACACACTGAAATTGTCTACACCAGAAGTTCAAGCAATGATCTCTGAAACGGGCTCAGTAAGTTTGATTTCTTCTCTGACTTCGCCTTTCTTAGTCAGTCACCGAGAAGGATCTAACCGCATTTGTTAAAGGAAAAAACGCAACCACTTCAAAGATTTCTTGCCAAGATCTATACAACTTTGTATCAACATTTCATGCTAATGTAAGTTGACGCTTATCTGAAATGTGCTGATTTATAGGAAGCAACAGCAGGTCATGCTCATTCTGGAGAGGGCTCCACAGGTCCTTTTTCAGTTAAGCCGATGGGTTAGTTAAATTGCATGAATTTAAATTGTACTGAGAACTGAAAAGGAATTACTCAAACTGTTCTAATACCAGTATGGATCTGGTCAACCGTTGCCGTTGTGATAATCAGTGCGGTTGGTTTGCTGGGAGTGGCAGTGGTTCCATTGGTCAATAAAACCTACTACAATGATGTCATTCAATTCCTTGTAGCGTTAGCGGTTGGGTGTCTTACCGGTGATGCATTTCTACACCTCTTACCTCATGTGAGTTTAATTGTTTCTAACATCTTCTCTTCCTTTTCAGTATACTTAGTTATTACGTCATGCTTTACTTCTTGACATCTCCAGGCAATCTCTGGAAGCCATGGACACGAGGAAGGAAGCGGAGATGAGGCAGCAGAGGAGCGAATTTCTGTCCTCAAGGGACTACTTGGTTTGGGAGGCATTTATTTCTTTTTCTTAGCAGAAAAACTCGTCAGCACGATATCCGAGTACCGAACAGAAAAAGCTGCCGAAAAGGTGCGTCCCTTATCTCTTCTATAATAATTAATTCATTAATCATTATTTAATCAAATTAATCTAATTAATAATTGTTAGTTAATATTAATATTGCAATTTCTTAGTTATAAATATACGTTAAGTTAGGATATAAATTATAATTTCATATAAATTATTAAACTCTCTTAACTTGACACATTTCAAGAACAAAATGTGGCTTAAGATCAATGTTTGTTACAGGAAGAACGAGAGAGAATTTTGCGGAACCCACGAAAATCTTCCGAGGGCATAAGGCGACTGAGCACGTTCCGGGAATCGATTGCAGTGAACTCATCATTCCGTCGTGGCTCACGCTTAGTTCCTAATCCCGAAATTGGAAATCTAAGGAGATCTTCACGATCACCTTCCATCATAGCTGACGATATTCTCACGACTGGTTTAACAGCGAAAGGTGAGTGATTTTATAATCAAGAGAACACATAACTGGCGTTTTTTTAGAAAAAAAAGTAATTCGAATCATGATGAGATACTTGTGAATCACACGAGTTTAAAAGATACACAAATTAAACTCAGGGCTCTGGCGAGTTCGCGCGTGTGTTTGCGGTGTAGATTTCTTTGGCAACTCAAATACCATCGCATGTCGCTACTTTATCGGCTCAAATAGCAATCTGAGTACATTCAGTTTCGATTAACTCCTTCATTGAATTCATTCAACACGAGTGCATTCAGTAAATCATATAAATGACTTTTGAATCCATAAAGGGCGAGAATTTTCTCCACACAATTACAACAAATAAATAAATAAATAAAGTTTACATATTAAAACATCTCTTATGTGAGATGATGTAAAAATGAGATTATTTTCGGAAATGGTTTAGATTGATTCAACCATTAAACCCTTAAGTAGGATTTAGGCAGGATATTTTGTTTTAAATACAAAATGCATTTCTTTATACTACTCCTGCTAAAATACTGCAGTTAGCTTCACAGAGGGATTAATTACAATCGAGAATTCGAAATACACTACACGCTCAAACAACTTTTTCTTTCCAGTAATACTAAAATCCAATAGATTCTATATTGAATTTGGGTGATAGCCAATCAGTATCAATTTCCATTACACAAATTCCAAGAAAGGCTTTATGTCAATTTCTTACTCTTGAAGGAATAATAGAGCAATTCTAAGATAATTATTAGTGTTGACTTCGAAGAACGCCACAACTTGAAATTGCCGATTGGGCTCTTAAATGATCAAATCATTTGCTTGTAGCCATGAAGACTGTGGACGTCTTGAACGCCTACATTGAGGAAGGAGAAGAGGAGGATGAACAAGAGCAATCCATGCAAAGAAATGAGCCTGGTGGACTGACACTCCAAGTTCCCTCGATCAATGTCATCCCTGAGGTCAAGGTTGAAACCAACTCTCCAGAAATGGAGAAAGGTAAAAGGGGTCACGGTCATTCACATGGCCCGACTCTCGATGATACTACGACTTCCAATACTGAACCACAAGGTGCATCACATGGACATGGTCACTCACATAATGTAAGCTTCATCGTATTTTTGTCGTTTAATTACTATTATTATCCTTTAGAGGAGAGGAAAATTATATCAATTTCGACAATTCCCCATACTAAATACCCCATTTTGCATGACATCTTTTTAGCTGAGACAACTAGTGCATGTAAGACTTATTCACAAAACGAGCTAATTTACTCACTGAACGCTGACTAAAATTTGGCTTTATTTTCTCACTTGAGTGGAATTCCAAGTAAACTTTATTACTTCCAGCTTCCAACTTCGATGGCTTCTGTGGCCTGGATGGTTATAATGGGTGACGGTCTTCACAACTTTACTGATGGAATGGCTATTGGTAAGATGATCTTGTAACTATTAAAATAACATCATACTTCGATGTGGGTTTGCTTTATAGTAAAATCGATTTTATATAATGCCTTTTGCAACATATATGCTAGAATATGGACACTAAACTGGCTCACTTTATCACACATGAAATTGACATGAGGTCAGATATTGAGGTCACATTAGAGTTTCAGTGGATTCTATTGAAAAGTCCAGGAATAAATATGCTTAGTTAAAACCTTTTGATGGGTTCTATCTTACCACTGATTAGCCAAGATTTAAGCAGTTATAGAAGAAAACATCAATCAGGGTAGTTATTGTTTTCTTTCCGTTAAAAAATCACTAGGTGAAAATTGCTCCAATTGAAAATGTTTGAACTCCATGAAATGTACCAGTCCAACCTTGTACTTTACAGTTACATTTGTCCCACCTCTATACTTTATTCCTCTTAAAGTTCAAGACTACTGGCTGTTGCAGCTGCTTTGAAGGTCATTATCATATAGCTATACTGCTCTCAACTCAAGAAAAGAGTTTTCGATATTTTACGGGTATATGGAAGTGCGTTTTACCCAGTCATTGTGTTTGCTCCTACATCCGACTGTCATTATAACCAACTTCGGCGTGTCCACGATGGAAGGGCTTACAATAAGCCAGGAAGATTAGCTAACAATCATTTCCAATGCGTTGAACAGGGCGTATTAAAATGAAACCCGATATAAAAAACTTATAATTAATTTCAGTGTCCCATTGCCCCTAGACAGGCAGATTTTCTGTCCAAAGAGCGATTACAACTGCGAGCAATAATGGACATCAAATGTCTTGATGATAATTACCGGAAGTTGTTATTCAGCCTGGCAGTTAGAAAATCTTCTAAATGGTGTTGTACAATTATTTTCCCTCACTCTCAAATGGGCAAATTTCAATCAAATCGGTTTTTCTTCTCCTGCAGGTGTTGCTTTTGCTGATTCTATTGCTGGTGGAATCAGCACAACCGTTGCAGTCTTTTGCCATGAATTACCACATGAATTAGGTAGGCTATGATGTCTTTGCTTATACTTTACAACGTAATAAGCAATTTCGAAGTTGTGCAAACTCGACAAATTACCACCTCTTTTTTCGATATGTGCTTTAGGCGATTTTGCGGTTCTTTTGAAAACTGGCATGGGCATAAGAGAGGCCCTTTTCTTCAACATTGTCTCCTCGGTGCTCTGCTTGATTGGCATGCTGGTAGGAATTGGAGTTGGCAATGTGGAGGCGGCTTCTTCGTGGATTTTTGCCTTTACTGCTGGAACATTTGTCTACATTGCTCTTGTGGATATGGTAAGTTAAATTATTTTTTTATTACAAATGGCAGGCGTTTTGATAGATATCATTAGCCATTTAGCTGACTTCGGCTTTCACAGAGAGGAGGAGAAACATCAAGGTGACAAAAAGAGCTACGGGCTTCACAGAGGGAAGGTTCATCAAAGTAGCATAGTTCGGGCTTTACAGAGGGAAGGTTCATCAAAGAAGCAGAAATGACAGGCGTTTTGATAGTTATCAGGAGGCGTTTTGATAGTTATCATTAGCCATTTAGCTGACTTCGCCGGCGTTTTGATAGTTATCATTAGCCCTTTAGCTGACTTCGTGCTTCACAGAGGGAAGGTTCATCAAAGTAGCAGAAAGTCGAGTACAGAGGGAAGATTAATCAGAGTAGCAGAAAGTCGAGGGGTGGGGAAGAGAAGCTCATCAAAGTAGCAGAAAGTCGAAGGGTGGGGAACAGAAGGAAGTAGCAGAAAGTCGAGGGGTGGGGAACAGAAGAGCGATAAATAGCAGAAAGTCGAGGGGTGGGGAACAGAAGAGCGATTCCCAGATGTGAAATAGACAGACAGACACAAAGGTAGAGAAAAAGGTAAGGTGAGTAATGTGGAAGGGGTCGAATATGACAACCAGGGGGGCGTGGTAGTTCGAAGTCATAAGTCAAATGCCTGTTAATAGACTTTTTGCCGTATGAGCATACGTTGCCCAGGGTGCACCGTTTTTTGCCGTATGAGCATACGTTGCCCAGGGTGCACCACTTGGAGGTAAGTCTATCGCACACCCCGTAAGTTAAATTATATAATTCAGCTCATTTATATGGCGAAAGACATGAAAAATAGCGATGGGCACGTGTATGCTGTGTAGCTAAATGGACATGGTATTGGCGCAAGTCCAGAAGTTCCATAAGTTGTGGTAAGTCGAAATCTCAAGAAGTGTGTAGTGGTTCGACCACGAAGGGAATATTCCACAACTTGCGACACCTATGAAAACGGCAATACTATGTCATAAATAGGTTAAATATGAATCTCTCTTTAATGAGTTTCGAAACCCCCGAATCAAAATAGCGAATGTATTTTGCGAAATGTTCCTGTGGGGAGGGGGGGTGTTGGAAGTTGGTAAAGTATGCCTTCAAAGTTATCAGAAGAAAATGCCTAGAACGCACCAGTCTTCCTTCTAATCCAAAG